AGACAAAAGCAATAGTCCAAGAATTTTAATTTAGTGGAAAAAAGAGGAATTTTTAAATAAACTGAATTAGAATAGCTGGTTTTTAATTTGGAACAAAACAGAGTTGGACCCTTATATAATACTACATATAAAAACTAAATCCCAGATCCAAAACTTTTTTGAAGAAACTCAAAGATACAAAGAAAAAAGATAAGACATATTAAGTGGAAAATTTCATGTTGAAGAGTACACCACAAATGAACTCAAATGACAAATGACAGCTTAGGAAAAATAATTACAATACATAAAGATAATTGCTCCTACAAATTCATAAGAAAAAGATAAACAACCCAATAGAAAAGTGGGCCAAGGGTATGAATAAGCAAATAACAGAAGAGGCAATCCAAAAAGGCCAATAAACACGCTCTCATGAAGGCATGAGAATACAAAATTGAAGTAGAAATGAGATACCATTTCTTACTGATAAGAATGGAAAAAATTCAAAAGCCTGGTAAAATCACTGCAGTTAAAAAAAAAAATTGGGGAAAAGAAGTTCACTTATACTGTGGGCTACACAATGTGAATGGTAAATATGTATGATGATTACAAACATATACACCCTTCAAGCAATAATCTTGCTCATGGGAATCCAGTGCACAGAATGAAGGCATTAGCATAGAAGTATCCAGGGCATAGGACGAAGTATTCCTACATGTATAAGGAAGTCTATTACAGTTACAGGAAGACTGTGGGAGTGTCCAAAAAGGAGTTAACACAGCAGGCCTGAAACTGTATCCTTAGAAAGGCCTGCTTCCAAGGTTGGCCCTTGGCCAGTGTCTGTGAACTTGACTGGGAAACAGTTTCACATGCTGATATAAAACTTTCCCTAAATGATAAGAGTGGCTCAATGTGGTTACACTGCTTGTGCAAACAGTGGGATTTATGCTGCATAGTCCTTCTTCGAGTCTGGGATTTCGGCACATAATGGGCAGAGGGTGCCTACATAACCGGTCCCCAGTAACAACTTCGAGCACTGAGTCTCTAATGAGCTCCCCTGGTAGACAACACTTAGCGTATGTTGTCACAATTCATTTCTGCAGGAATTAAGCATGTCCTGTGCAACTCCATTGGGAGAGGACTCTTGGAAGCTTGCTCCTGGTTTCCTCTGTGTTTTACACCCTGTGCCTTTTCCCTTTGCTGATTTTGCTTTGCATCTTTTTGCTGTAATAAATTTAATTCATGAGCACAACTATATGCTGAGCCCCACGCATCCTTTTAGTGATTCATCAAAGCTGGAAGCTGTCTTGGGGACCCTTTCACATAGGTGGTGGGGAGGAGATGTGGGCAGAGAAGGTAAATGTGGGAAAAAAATTACCAGAATATTATAAAAAAAGAGAAAGGTGCTCATAAAAAATCACCATGTGAACCACGATCTCATTAACATTATAGTACATATACTTCTCTATATGTACAGAAAGATATTAGAAAGGATGGCCACCACAACATTAATAGTTTTTTACCTCTGGATGGTGGGATTTTAGGTGATTTTCCACAGTTTCTCTTATAATTTTCGGTATGGTTTGAATTTGTTTTTGCAGTAAGTACACTTTAATCGTATGATCAGAAAAAAAAGATAAAGCTATTTTTTTATTTAAAAGGGAAAAATAAAAGTCAATTGTTGGAGATTCTGGTTTAAAATAGCATCTCCTGGGATGCCTGGGTGGCTCAGTCGGTTAAGTGTCTGCCTTCGGCTCAGGTCGTGATCCAGTCCCACCTGGGGCTCCCTGCTCAGTGGGGAGCCTGCTTCTCTCTCTCCCTCTGCCTGCCGCTCTGCCTACTTGTGCTCTCTCTGTCAAATAAATAAAATCATAAAAAAAAAATAACATCTGATGCTGCCTCCCCTAACTTCCTGTTCCATTCCTATAAGGTTACAGAAAAAAATAACACATAGCACATGAAAACTTAGGTGACTGATGACCTATTCCCAGAAGCTGAGAGAAACTTCCAATAATTTTTATGGCCTGTGGAGTTGGTTTAAAAAACAAATCTGTATCGCCTATATCATACCCTAGAATGGTCTGCCTGAGAATTCAGAGAAAGATCCTTATTTCCTGCTCCACTGCTTTATGGTTCAGAAATACAAGATCTCCATCACAGAGCGCCCTGGACATCTTTTCCCCCATGGCAAGGGTGACAGCTTTTGAAGTAGTCATTCCTCTTTTAGAACCTCCCTTTTCTATGTAGAAATTGTAATTTCTCACCAGAAAGAGAGCAGAGGCGCTGTAGAGAGGACAGAAAAAGGAGAGCCATAGTAGGTGTGCATACCTACTATGCAAGAGCTGGCCATGGGGGCTGGGGGCCCCATCTTTGACTGGTACAACTGTGGCGGATTAAAGTCTGTGGGACATCGTCAACTGTGGAGGAAGTGAACAAATTGCCACTGGAGACTGAAGACCAGGATTCTACCAGCCACCAAGCGGACAGAAAGTGAGTTCAGGGTAGGGCGACTATACAATGTGTTATCCATAATTATCCATAGCAAAAGTGACACTTCTGAGAGCGAAAGGGGTGTGAGAGACAACAGTGATAAACCAGGACTGTCCCAAACAAATGGAGAGGGATGGTCACTCTCCTTCAGGGCCAAACCCTTAGCCCCAATTTCTTGAATAGGTATAAAGTAGAAAAACAAAGTATCAGATCTGCCAAAAGAATAGTAACAACAACAAAACACCAATGGTAAGTACTGAAGATCAAAAGAAAGGATTTAAATATACAGAAGAACAGATATATGACAATAATTGACCATGGCAGACAGAAAACAGACACCCAACCTGCATAAAACAGAACTGAATAAAAGCAGTACAAAAAGAGCCAGTTAATACAAGGAAACTGTTTCAGGATGAAATAGAATTTAGTATTCCACTCCAAAAGATTTTCTGAGTTCTAGGCAAAATAAATAGAAGACAGCAAAACTTAGAAACATGTTGGCAATTGGAAGGGAAGAGAAAACCTTCATTATTTGCACATGATATAACCATTTCCCCAGAAAAACTAACAGAATCAACAAAGGTTGCATTCTGGATATGGATAAACCAACATAAGCTCATATTATTTCTCTGTACCAACACTGGCATGTAGAATAAAAAATTCACAGCAGTAACAAAAACAATGAGATATCTAGGAATTAACCATGAATTCATATAGCCTCTCTAAATCTAAAGGTCAAAGAAATGATTTAAATAAGCCTATTTTGTACTCTTAAGATGATTTAATACTGTAAAAATGTTAATTCTTTCAAATTAATCTATAAGTTCAATGCCATCCTAATAAAAATTATTGTTGAATTTAATGAACCCTATAAACACACATTAACATTTATATTACAAAATAAAGGTCTACGTGTAGGTTAATCCATCTGCATAAAGAAGAGTAAGAAGATGACTTATCCTACCATACACTAAGACATACTGCAATTGAAACTATGTGGCATCAATGTAAAAATGGGCAACTGTATAAATAAACATTCAGAGACAGACTATATACACAGGATAACATACTGATAGAGGTGGCAACACAAATCAACGGGGAAAGGACACACTGTTCAGTAGATGGTCCTGAGAAAATGGTTCACCATATGGAATAAAATGAAACCAGATTCCTATGTAAAACCACATATATAGGTAAGTTCTAAATGGATTCAAGACCTAAATGTGGAAGATAAAAGTATACGGTTCAGAGGAGAAAACAAAGGCTAGTATCTTTGTGACCTGGAGACAAGGAAAGCCCTCTTCAATAAAATGTAAGACAAAGAATTGAAGAATTTGATAATGTCAAAATTAAGGATTCCCTTCAGAGCACCTGGGTGGCTCAGACAGTTGGGTGTCTAACTCTTGGTTTTGGCTCAGGTCGTGATCTCAGGGTCATGAGATCAAGCCCTGTGTCAGGCTCCACACCTGCTTAAGAGTCTCTCTCCCTCTGCCACCCTTTCCTTCTCTAAAAAAATTAAAAAAAAAAAAAAATTTTAAATGTCTAATGTAAATAGGTGATTAATGTCCAAAATACTCAAGGAATTCCTGCTAATGAACAAGAAAATGATACCAGCTCCAAGAGAAAAATGGACAAAGGACACAAACTGGCAATTTACAGGAAGACCCAAAGAGCAAATAAAGCATTTAATGAGATACTCAGTTTCAATGGTAACCAGAGAAACACAAAGTAAAACAGCAGTGAGATATCATTATACCTATTAGTCTTGCAAAATTGAGGTGGCTGGATGTTACTAGTTGGGATGTAGGCACATAGTAACTCCCTTAGTGAGCTGGTGCAAACAGACAGTCCTTTTGGGGAGGAAATGGGCACTACTCATACCAATCAGGTCTATGTACACCATCTGACCCAGCAGCTTTTCTTTTGATACATATCCCATAGAAAATATACCTCTTACAGAGGAACAAGATTTTTAAAAAGACACATATATAATTTTTTAAATATTAAAATGGTTCATATGGAAGGCATGGAAATGGGTATGGCAGATAAAAAGAAAAACATGAGTGAGTGAATGATGAATGAATAATGAATGATTGCTACTATGATCTAATGAGCTTCAAGTCAGCACCCCACTCCTCATTCAAGTGCTGGTGCTGGTTATGATGGGTGAGCAGGGGGTTTTGAACACATCCACAAAACTTCTGAATTACAAGATAGAAAAAAGTCCTTTACCCAGTAAGGCTGAGGGAAAAAACCCAGTTAATTACAAGAGACAAAAAGTTGGCTACTTCAGACATCGCCCCAACTTTAAATACTGGAAGATAAAATGTCTTGAGTTTTGAGGATAGAGTAAGTTTGAGTACAGGCAGCCAAATAGATTTTACATGTGTGAAGGCAACAGGGAACATTCTAGGATAGGCGTAGATAAAAAGAATATACGATCATGAACATTTCTTGAATCAAAGAAAACATCCCGCAAAATTTTAAGAACATAAAAGCAAGACCCGGTCCCTGTATATAAAATATAAAATTACCTTTTGCAGAAAGAGGACAATCCTTATGAGCATCTGGGCACGGAGTTCCTCCAACGTAAACAGTGTTCGGGGTGTTCGAATGAAAATTTTGGTTTTCCCATAAGCTACGTCATCCTGAAAACCACAATGTTCAATCAGCTTCTTGACAGCCTCTTTGTCTGAAGGGAGGTCATGGTTGGGCCAGGTGAATTCACAGATCATCTTGTATCTGTGTGAAAAATGAACAGGGTACAAGTTAAGGGAGAAAAACCTTATGGTCTGAATAGATGCAGAAAGACTATTTAATAAATTCAAGACACTTCATAAATAGAAAAAAAAACTTAGTAATGAATTCTGTTCACTAACCTGGTAAGAGATGTAGAAAAAGACTTAATAAGATACAACACTCCTCATGATAAAGACTTAACTAAACTAGGGATAGAAGGGTTCTTCCTTAATCTAGTACACGTTAAATTACCAAGAACCTACAGCAAATATCATTTATAAATGGGTAACCTTTACAAATTCTCTATATGCAAAGAAATAAGGATCCCTCGATCATGGTTTTCCAGCCAGCATAGTGAGACCAATAAATAAGCTGGTATGATTGGGGAAGGAACAAAATTCATATTATTTATGATTCGCTTCAAAGGAAATGAAGCTCTTCAGATGAAAACTATTATCACTAAAAGAAAACTAAGCATATAATATCAATACACAAAAACCGATTGTGTTTCTAGGCACAGGCAGCCATGTTGGCCTCTCATAAGGCAGCTCGTCGTACACCAGCTTCTTCATGAGTGAAAACGAGCAAGACGGAAGTCACAGGGTCACAGCCTCCTTTCAAAAGTGATATTCTACTACTTTTGCCAAATTCCATTTTGTTAGAAGCAAATCACTAGGGCCAGCCCACCTTCAAGAGAAGGGGACGGCAAAGAGCAGGAGTACCAAGAGGTGGGATCACTGTGACCACCTGAGAAGGCTGCTAACCACAGCACTGCCCCCCACACCCCGGTGCCAAGTTGTTTAATATGTGTAGCCAAATTCAGTAATTTCTTTCATATATTACATCGGAATTCTAATCCATACAAGAAAGGCTCTCCTCCCACTCGGGTTACAAAGTAATTCACCTATGTGTTCTAGTTGTTGGATGTTTTCATTGTTTACATTTAAATCTTTCATCCACTTGGGGTTTATTTTGGTATACGGTGTGAGGTATGGATCCAATTTTATCTTTTGACAAGTGGCCACCCAGTTGTTCCAACACTATTTACTGAAAGTCCATCTTTCATCCTGTGATTTAATACGGCATTTTAATCATACACTACACTTTCATATGTACTTCAGTGTATTTCTAGACATTCTGGTCTGTTTCATTGCTCTCTCTGTCCATCTGTGCATCAGTCCTATGTGGTTTTATTTTTATTTATTTATTTATTTATTTATTAAGATTTTTAAAAATTTATTTGACAGAGAGAGACAGCAAGAGAGGGAACGCAAGCAGGGGGAGAGGGAGAGGGAGAGGGAGAGGGAGAGGCCGACTCCCCCGCTGAGCAGGGAGCCTGACGTGGGGCTCGATCCCAGAACCCTGGGATCATGATCCAAGCTGAAGGCAGCTGCCCAACTGACTGAGCCACCCAGGGGTCCCAATCATAGATATCTTAGTATATTTTAATATCTGGTGGTCTCTCCTCATCCTTTTCTTTTTAAAAGGTTTTTCTAGCTATTCCTGCGTGCTTATTTTTCTATATGAACTTTAGAATCAATCTGCATAGTTCCAGGGGGAAAACAATCACAAAACAAACAAATCCTTGCTGGTATTTTTACTGGGTTCCCACATTAAATTCATTAAATTTATCTATGATGTTGAATCATCCTATCTAAGAACAAGGCATGTCTTTCCACTTGTTCAAGTCTACTTTTGTGCCTCCTGGGAGTCTTTAAATGGTCTTTGTTGGGCTTCACACATTTCTTGCTGAGATACCTAAGTGGTTTGTGATCCCTTCTTCTTGATGGATCTCTCTTTTCTGAGCTTCCATGACAGCATGATCTCCCTGATGTCCGTCTGTCTCTCTGGATATTTCTTCTTGATCTCATTTTCTGGCTACTGCTCCTCCATTACTGGACCCTCAAATGTTGGAGGACCCCAAGGCTCGTATCAGGTCCTCTTCTATGTACAACCTCCCGTCACCTCATCTACTCCATCCACTTTTTCAATTCATGAATTTTCCATAGCCCAGCTCTGAGTTCTGAGCTTTAGATGCATACATCCAATGCTCACATAAGTCTTGAGGGCGTCTTACATTTCTTTCACTTTCCCACCTCAGTGCCCACAGTTACTAGACCCAGAATCCTGGGAATCGTTATTTGATCCCTTCTCTCCTCTATCTGTCCTTCTAATTCATCATCAAATCCTATTGGGCTTACCTCTAAAATATATTTAAAATTCAACTACTCTCATTTTTACTGCCACAATCCTAATCCAAGCCACCATCAAGCTTAGTAAAATAGACTCCTGAATTGTTTTCCAGTTCCTCCCCAATCCATTCTGCAAGCTCAGCTGCCATAGGACTTTTCTAGAAAGTCTTACATCATTTTTATCTTTTACTGCTCTCCCGCTTCAGCACTATACTCCCATCACATGGGCCTTCTTTAGGGTCCTGTAGTGTGGTTGCCTCTTTCTTCCTTTAGAGCCTTTGCACATGCTGTTCCCATTGCCTGGTATGCTTTTTAATCTACTACTTCAAAGGCTGGCTCCTGCTTATCCTTTAGACTTTTACTGTCTTCTTTCATCAACCATCAACCTCCATTATTCCTCTCTATACATTTAAAAGCCTACTCACTTGCCAAATAGGGAGAAACCAAATGAAAGAGTTCAAATATGAAGAAAGAGGTAATATCACATGAAAAAAGGAAACAAAATCAGAATCATCCCAAATTCATTATAACACTAGAATAAGAGTCAACATTTGGGCTATAATATAGATAGTCATGGTGTGTTCGAAATTTTCGGCATACCGCAGAAGCTGGAAGCAACCCGCCACCACACTGCTCAGCCAAGGTGCTCTTCCTTTCTTCCTGATGGTAAAATGGCAAGACCCCAGTTCTCCCACAAACCAGCATCCTGAACTTGTGAATTAAAAAGCTGAACTCATCTGCTTCCTGACAATGAGTATTATCTCCCTGAAAGACTCACGCAGCTTTTAAGGTTATCAGAACATTTAAAATCCTTCTCTTGGGGCGCCTGGGTGGCTCAGTCGTTAAGCGGCTGCCTTCGGCTCAGGTCATGATCCCAGGGTCCTGGGATCGAGCCCCGCATCGGGATCCCTGCTTGGCGGGAAGCCTGCTTCTCCCTCTCCCACTCCTCCT